GGGGGGGGGTCTGGGGGTACCTGTCCCCTCTTTGGGTGCCCCCACCCCACAGGAGCATTCTCCCCAGACCACGGAGACCCTCAGCACATGGCAGCAGGTACCGAGGAGCAGTCTTTACTTTACAATTGTACAGCCTATTTATAACAGGGGGCGCATAGGTTCACAGATGGTGCTTATAAATAAAGCCAGGCCCTGGGGCAGGGGGTCCGGGGACCCCTCCAGCCCCTCTGTGCCCATGGACCTTGGGGCTGCAGCTTGGCCAAAGTCCTGTCCTGCCCGTACCAGGGCTCTGTGCTGGGGGCATCTCACTTCAGCCCACATTTTGGGTCCCTGCAGACAGTGGTCACCTTCATCCTCCTCTTCTTCATCCTCGATTTGCTGGGGTCCCTCATAGCATCGTCCGTCAGGGCTTGGAGGCTTGGAGGCTTGTCCCCCCCTTGCTGGCCCTCCTGGAGCCGCTGGGTGCTGCAGCCATAGTGGTGTCACATCATGGGACCACGGGGCATGGAGTCCTGAGGGTGTGGCTGGTACCAGGCTCCAAAGCTGCTGATGTAGTTGTTGGGGGGCAGCGGGGGCCCTTTGCCCGGCACAGGGATGTCCCAGAGCGGGGGGATGCTGGGGGAGCACGGGGACAGTGAGGAGGAGGTGTGCAGGTGCTGCTCCCCATCGGGTGCACTCGAGCCCTGCTTCATGATCTTCTTGTACTTGGAGCGCTTGTTCTGGAACCAGATTTTGACCTGTGGGTGAGAGTGGGGGTGAGCAGGGATGTGGGGAGGGTGGCACCGATGGGCAGTGTCACACCCCTCAGGTGCCATTATTTTGGAACTGTTACAGGAGTACACCTGTGTGAGGGTCCACGAGATGAACCCAACCCTATGCGAGCCACTAGAGAATCCACCACGAGGAACTGGAGGAGAAGACGATAAGGGAAACAGAGAGAGCAGAGAGCAACTCAAGGGAGAGCAGAGAGCAACTCAAGAGCCTCCAGCCCTGCGTGTCCCCATGCGTCCCCCCAGCTGTGCCCCCTCCAGCCCAACCCGGGCACAGGAGCACTGCTGGGGCGCGGCGCGGTGGGGCCCTCAGCGCTCCGCTCGGGGTGGTGGCCCCACTCATTCCTCCCCACGGTCCCCCCCGCGCTGTCGGCAGGTTCCCACTTGCCTCCTCTTCCCCGTCTTTATGAGCTCGCTTCGCCCCTGGCTCCGGGCTGCACCGCTGCCGCCTGCCTGTCTCTCCCCATCGCCTTCAAAAACCCACTCACCCCATCCCGCGGCGCGGGGCCGCCCAACGCCGGGCACGGCTGGGCCAGCAGCCAG